TGAAGAAGAGAAGGCAGGCTGAGAGGAGACATGATAACTATGTATAAATATATGAGAAAAAATCATAGGGAGGAGGGACAAAGTTTGTTTTCTGCTGCCCTGGAGACTGGGACACAGAACAATGGCCTCAAACTACAGGAAATGAGATTCCATCTGAACATTAGGAAGAACTTCCTGACTGTGAAAGCAGTTCAGCAGTTAAACTCTGGTGGAGGCTCCTTCTTTGGAAGCTTTTAAACAGAGGCTGGATGGCCATCTTTCAGGGGTGCTTTGAATGTGATGTTCCTGCTTCTTGGCAGGGGGTTGGACTGGATGGCCCATGAGGTCTCTTCCAATTCTATCATTCTATCATTCTGAGACATTTCCATCTTAATGGTGACCCTATCAAAGGGTTTTCTTGGCAAAGTTTGTTCAGAGGGGTTTTTCTATAGAGTGTTTTGAAATGATTGTGTGCTTTGATAATGGGTTTTAAGCAATGTTGTAATCCACTTCGAGCTGTGAGGAGAGATGAGTAAGAAATAAAATTGTTGTTGTTGTTGTTGTTTGTTGTCATTGTAAACGGCCCCAGCCGAGTTGATCTGTCCGAACGCATCTCCCTTTACAAACCACCATGAAGACTAAGCTCTTCTGGGGAGGCCCTGCTCTCGGTCCCGCCACTGTTAAAGGCATGTGGATGAGAGACAGGGCCTTCTCAGTTATTGCCCCCCTTCCTGGCAATATTAGATCACCCCCTCCTCCTGTCCTTCAGAAGGAAGGTGCAGATCTGCCTGTGGGACCAAGCCTTTGGGGCACTGCAACGAGGCAATAATAGAATGGTGTCCTGAGATGGTTTTTAAGCAAATGATTTTAAAGTGTATATAAGTGATTTTAATGTGTGCGTATAGTTATGGTTTTATGTCCCGGCATTAAATGTTTGCCTTATATATGATGTGTTCTGCCCTCGGTCCCCTGCAGGGTAAGAAGGGCAGAATATAAATGTCTCAAATAAATAAATAAATATTATTATTCGATACACAACAAGATTAGTACACAGCAAAGAATATCACTATGCTTGCTTTTGTATTGGATCACACGTAGAATCATAGAATCAAAGAGTTGGAAGAGACCTCATGGGCCATCCAGTCCAACCCCATTCTGCCAAGAAGCAGGAATATTGCATTCAAATCACCCCTGACAGATGGCCATCCAGCCTCTGTTTAAGCTTCCAAAGAAGGAGCCTCCACCACACTCCGGGGCAGAGAGTTCCACTGCTGAACGGCTCTCACAGTCAGGAAGTTCTTCCTCATGTTCAGATGGAATCTCCTCTCTTGTAGTTTGAAGCCATTGTTCTCTGCGTCCTAGTCTCCACGGAAGCAGAAAACAAGCTTGCTCCCTCCTCCCTGTGGCTTCCTCTCACATATTTATACATGGCTATCATATCTCCTCTCAGCCTTCTCTTCTTCAGGCTAAACATGCCCAGCTCCTTAAGCCGCTCCTCATAGGGCTTGTTCTCCAGATCCTTGATCATTTTAGTCGCCCTCCTCTGGACACATTCCAGAGGAGGGCGACTAAAATGATCAAGGGTCTGGACGTTGGACACTTCTCATAGTCTTTGAAAGTAAAGACCATCCAATGAAACAGGAAATAACGCTTTCAAACCATTAAGGAAGGATTCGGAAGTCTCGGAAGTTTTGAAAAGTTTTGAACATTTTTTTTCTGTGAAAATCGGAATTGACTTTAGAATTGAACCACCAGTGCCTCCTCCATCCAAAACGAGTTTTGAGCCATTTTTTTTATCAAACTAGCCTATAAAACACTGCTTTAAAAAAAACCCAAATAATCAATTGTCAAACAATGAGTTAAAAATAGGTAACCCCCCTTTGATTTAATAGGTCTTTAGTTGAGACTAACAAGAGGATCCGGTTTTTTCAGTGTTTCTGCAGAGAACTCAAAAATCCTGCAACAAATATACAAAATAAAGGAAGGCATTTAAAACTGGCCAAATTTAAAATATGACCTTTGTTAGCTATGGAATATGCTCCGAGACGCAAAGAAAAAGCTGTTGTTGTTGTTTATGTTGTTGTTGTTGTTGTTGTTGCAATATTTATTTCTCGCTCACAGGAGAGATAAAGTAGCTAAGAGATTTTGCAATTTGCAAATCCTGCAAATGATAAAACTTAAAAGGAAAAACCTGAATCCCAAATTACTGTTGTGATATAGTTTAGGACACAGACAGATTTCTTTCTGGCAGTTGTGAAGGTCAAATATTGCTGGTTACGGGTTAATGAATAAAAATAACTATCTCCCATTATGCAACAGCAATGCACTGTGGGAAGTACGCCAAACTGAACAGAAAACATTAACCAAGGAACCAGCAGTAATGCCAAGATTTATGAACAGAAGAAAATGAGATTTATGCGAAGAGACAGACTGGTTAATGACAATACAGAACTGCAATACGGTCATCTAGTAAGGAGCTGACTGAGGAAGTCAGAATTACATGGAAATAGAGCTGCAACCATTATTTGAAAGGATATCTTTAGCCAGGACGAGAGAAGACTTGGTGGGAACATGATAGCAATCTTCAAATGTCTCATAACTAATATTTTGCTACTCACTGAGGCAGGAGTAGATCTAAGGGGTTTCAGATGCAAAGTTGAGGCAAAGATTAGGTTGTGTGCATTTGTATTCATGTGGTAACATGGTGGTGCACTAAACCACTCTTCTGTTGGATATGAATATTATGCAACCAATGGTGTCTCTTCTTGTCCTATTGTGCAATGGAGAATGCATAGGGACTTTTCCTTCCGTCCCAAAGCATGAGTCACATTGAAGGCACTGACAAAGACTGAAACACCATCCAAAATGTGCAATGTCATGGCTGGAATCCTGGTTTTTTACTCCCACTAGGATATCCCTATTGAATTAATACAGGCTGAATAACTCTTATCCAGAATTATGAAATCCAAAATACCCCAAAATCCAAAAGTGTCCAAACCAATGGCAGATATAGTGATGCCTTTACTTTCTGCTGGTTCGGTGTGCACAAACTTTGTTTCATGCACAAAATTACTCAAAATCGTGGGGATTTGTAAAAAAGCACCATGATATGATGGATTGACTGGAAAGGTATGTGTCAGCGGGCTGATTGGCTGGGCATGCCAGGAGCCAGAGTTCTGATTGGCTGCTGTCTCTGGCTTGCTGCTGAGACAAATGGTTTTAACTGCCACTTTTACCACAAGGATGATAAAACATCAAAATCATCTGGGTGTCCCCTGGGCAACGTCCTTGCAGACGGCCAATTCTCTCACAACAAGACACTCCTGACACGACAAAAAACAAAACCTCAGAGAGTGAAGAGAGCACTGACTGGAAACAGCCAGGAAGGAAATGGCTGCCAATTCGCTGAAGCCTGATCATTTCTAAGGCATAAAATGACTGTTTATTCCCTCTGTTCTCTGTAAGAATTCAGAGAGACTGCTGTATGTATTGTTGCTCTATTTGACCTTTAGAACTGAAGTAAAGTTGCTGTTACTTATTACACAAGCCCGAGTGATACTTTATTATACTGCAGGGTATATTTTGGTTCAGAAACTGTGGTAAAGCTTCTATTTATTTACTTTTACAAGCTCCCACAAAAATATCATGCACAAAATTACCTTCAGACTTTGTGCATATCATGTTTATGAAACTTAGATGAATTTCATGTTTAGTCTTCTCCAAGATATCTCATTTTATACCAGTGTGTGTACAGAGAGAGGACATCCCTCCTATTGCGTCAGCTCAACTGGCTGCCAATTTGCTACCAAGCATAATTCAAACTGCTGGCTTTAGCCTATAAAGCCCTAAATGGTTTTGGCCCAGATTACCTGTCCGAATGCATTCTCCTCCCATGAACCACCTCAGAGATTAAAGTACTCAGGGGAGACCCTACTCTCAGTCCTGCCTCCTTCACAGGCGCGACTGGTGGGGACGAGAGACAGGGCCATCTCAGTGGTGGCCCCTCATCTGTGGAATGTCCTTCCCAGTGATATTATATCAGCCCCCTCCCTCCTGGCCTTCAGGAAGAGGGTGAAAACATGGCTTTGGGATCAAACCTTCAGAGAAGTACAATAGAAGGATATTTAATGTGTGTAATGACTATTGGAATGGCCCCAGATTACGATTGTGGCCGGAGTGGTTTTTAATAATAGTTGTAATGTTTTAATTGTTTTAATGTGTATTAATTTTAATATTAAATTAAATGTTTATTTTAATTGTATGTTTTTAATGCATTGAATTGTTGCCTGTGTGTAAAGCCACCTTGAGTCCTTGAGATATATGCTCTTTTCCAACTCTATGGTTCTGTGAACAACAGCAAAAACATTGAAAGTAAAGAATACCTCTCCACTTTTTAGTCTGGCAACTGTACTTATAACTCACATTCCATGTTATATATCTACAAGTAGAGGGCCAGTGTGAAGTAGTGGTCAAATTTTGGACTGAAACTTGGAAAGTTAGTCTGCTAATCTGTGCTTTACCATGAAACTCCCTGGGTGACCTTGGACACTGTCTCTTGACTTGACCTACCGCAAATGGTTTTCATGGGGCTAAACTGGGAAAGGAGAGAACCATGAACCTTGAGATCATTAGAGGAATATAAATGTAACAAATGCATTATTATGTATTATGATATCAGCCCCCGGTGGCGCAGTAGTTTAAACCCCTGTGCCGGCAGGACTGAAGACCGACAGGTCGCAGGTTCGAATCCAGGGAGAGGCGGATGAGCTCCCTCTATCAGCTCCAGCTCCTCATGCGGGGACATGAGAGAAGCCTCCCACAAGGATGATAAAACATCAAAATCATCCAGGCGTCCCCTGGGCAACGTCCTTGCAGACGGCCAATTCTCTCACACCAGAAGCGACTTGCAGTTTCTCAAGTCGCTCCTGACATGACCAAAAAAAATTATAATATGCAAACTGCATCAGACAAGGTGAAGATAGAAATTATTTTTTTAAAATGCACTTTTTCTTCTTTAACAGAATACGCTCGATTTGAGGCCAAGATCCATGACCTGCGTGAGCAGATGATGAATCACAGCATGAGTTCTGGGTCGGGCTCCCTGCGAACCAATCAGAAGCGCTCCCTCTACGTCAGGTAGGCATACAAAATGGTACCATTTACAAATGTGAAACGATACCGAAAGTAACAACATGTTGTTCCTAAACTTTATTCTGCACTAGCAATTTTCAGAGAGATATCCCTGGTAACCTGTTTTGCTATAAACAGAGTAAAGAATGCTCTAGCCATTTTAAGGCTCATCAAGTTTACTGTGACATATGCCCAGTTGTGCCAAGCTGTTTCAATGTATCTGAACAAGTGCTCCATGGCCCATGAAACTTGCGCTGAAATAATATGGTTGGTCTTAAAAGTCTCTGGGGATTTTTATCTCTTATTGTGGTAGAGAAGAACTGGAAATGTTGGTGGAAGAACTGGAGGAGAAAATTTTAATAGAGATAATAGAGATCTTTCAAAGCAACAAATAGATAGAATCCATGTCAAATCTGTTGTACGTGACTGGAAGGCAAGTTCTCAACATTTAGAAGCCAGGAACTGCTCTCATAAAGCTTCCCCTCCAATGAAAAAGAAACAAACAAACTTGTGGGTTTTTTCGGGCTATATGGTCATGTTCTAGAGGCATTTCTCCTGACGTTTCGCCTGCATCTATGGCAAGCATCCTCAGAGGTGAGGTCTGCTGGAGCTGGGAAAAAAGGGGTTTATATATCTGTGGAATGACCAGGGTGAGACAAAGGGCTTTTGTAAGTTGGGCTAGGTGTGAATCTTTCAACTGACCACCTTGATTAGCATACAATGGGCTGACTGTGCCTGGAGCAAACTCTTCTTGAAAGGTGATTAGATGTCCCTGCCTGTTTTTCTCTCTGCTGTTTTTGCTGTTGCAATTTTAGAATTTTTTAATACTGGTAGCCAGATTTTGTTCATTTTCATGGTTTCTTCCTTTCTGTTGAAATTGTCCACATGTTTGTGGATTTCAGTGGCTTCTCTGTGTAGCCTGACATGGTGGTTGTGAGAGTGGTCCAGCATTTCTGTGTTCTCAAATAATATGCTGTGTCCAGGTTGGTTCATCAGGTGCTCTGCTATGGCTGACTTCTCTGGTTGAAGTAGTCTGCAGTGCCTTTCATGTTCCTGGATTCGTGTTTGGGCGCTGCGTTTGGTGGTCCCTATGTAGACTTGTCCGCAGCTGCATGGTATACGGTAGACTCCTGCAGAGGTGAGAGGATCCCTCTTGTCCTTTGCTGAACGTAGCATTTGTTGGATTTTCTTGGTGGGTTTGTAGATTGTTTGTATGTTGTGTTTCCTCATCAGCTTCCCTATGCGGTCAGTGGTTCCCTTGAAGGTTGACCTTCCTTTTTCATACATGATGTATGGCAGGAACACTTTTCCTCTGGGTGGATCTTGGAAGTGATTGAAGTGCATCTCTTGGAGAGGATAGACATTCCTAAGTGATGAAAAAGTAAAACTTGGCACGTGATTTCATTGTTCCAGTGTAAACATAGAAATTCTTGTGTGTGCAGTAGCCATGGGCTTCTCCTTTTTCTCTTGTTTTGCTGGAGAGACCAAATACAAGAATTTTTTTAATATTAAAAAATCTCCCAGAAAGGTATAGAGAAATGCCCGTATCTGTGCAGTTATGTTTCCTATTTGCTTTGGGTAACTGTGTATGCATGCAACATCTTAGCTACGAACCTTTCTTATGGTCAGACTATATACTGAGGAGCCCAGACCCTAGTTTTTTTTAATAGTACTCCCTTCCCCTTAAGTGCATTCATTTGCCATCTACATGGCTCATGCTGAGTCTCCAGTTTGAATTGACGGTGGCAAATTGGAGGATGGCAATTTGTCAAGTCCCCTAGCAGAGTCGATTGCTTTTGGTGAAACTAATTTGGATGATGACCTTACAGAGAGCCAATTAAGATCTGGGCTCTTAAGAATATGTCAGCATGACAGAGAGAGGGAAATGTGGGCGTCCCATTGAGAGGAAAAATGGAACCCTTGATGTGTAGCTTAACGATGTTGATAAGGTTTCTTGTGAACAGGAAGGGTCAGAAGGTTTAATGCTTAGCCATTCTTGGAAATCTTAGTTAAGCAAGGTGTTGATAACTGAGCTGTGCCTGTTGAGGGGAAGAGCAGGGAGGGGAAGAGCAGGGTGGGCAGCTCTAAGGACTGGTGTTACCTCTTGCTGTGGAGGTTGATAGCTCTGATGTCAAGGAAACGTAAATCTGCTCTTAGTTTTAGTCCAGAGATGATGAAAAATGCAAGGGGGTGCAAATTGAAAAAGTTTGGAGGTCTGCTTCTTGGCAGGGGGTTGGACTGGATGGCTCACAAGGTCTCTTCCAATTCCATGGAGCTCTCCAACATGCTGAAACCTATCCTCCAAACATCTCAAACCTTCAGATGGCTCCTTTGGAGTTCAGATTGAAACCCAGCTTCTCTCTAACACTGAAAGATGCTTTTGGATGTACTTTTAAGAATCAGTTTCATCAATATGCCACACCCCAAGATGAAGCAAAGGACCATCCATAGGGGAATCTTGGATCAAATTACTGTATTTCTAAATCAGTCAGTTCTTCAACTTCTAAATCAGTCAAGTTCTTCAAGAAAGGAGATTCCATCTGAACATGGGGAAGAACTTCCTGACTGTGTGAGCTGTTCAGCAGTGGAACTCTCTACCCCAGAGTGTGGTGGAGGCTCCTTCTTTGGAGGCTTTTAAACAGAGGCTGGATGGCCATCTGTCAGGGGTGATTTAAATGCAATATTCCTGCTTCTTGGCAGGGGGTTGGACTGGATGGCCCATGAGGTCTCTTCCAACTCTTTGGTTCTATGATTCTATGATTCTATGATTTAAACATTATACAGTCCCACCTAAATTAAACATTTTAATTATTGTAGATAGGTGCACATGTCCATCTGATGAAAGAAAAAATGTCACTAAGAAAATTAATTCAGATGTAAAAAGGAAACATTTTAGATATTAGTACAGTACACCAAATGGGACAGGGGGAACTTCTGAAGCTTCCCTCTCCCTCTGTTGTTGACTGTTGGTGTGATATTATAATTTTTTTTCACTAATTAAAGGGTACTCAGAGCAGCTTACAAGATATATATACATACAACCATATTATATTATTAGCATAGCACAATATCAGTATTATATATTACTATATTGTACTAACCATGGCGAAATAAGAAAGTGCAAAAGCTGGGTTGCAGTAGGTAAAGGTAATAATAATAATAATAATAATAATAATAATAATAATAATAATAATCTTTATTTATACCCCAGCATTCTTAACCACTTACTCCTTCCAGATGTTGGAATCTATAACACCTTTACTTGCTTGATGATAAGAGAGTCTCTCTTGCGGAGAGATAGCCCACATGAGAAATAGTACTGGACTTGACAGTATAACTTACCTGCCTTCTCAGTAAAGATTTTGAAATTGATTGTTATTTGACATCAAGTTGGCTTGGACTTACTCTGACACTGACTGAAACCCTAAGGGCCCTTCCACACAGCCCTATATCCCAGAATATCAAGGCAGAAAATCCCATAGTATCTGCTTTGAATTGGGTTATCTGAGTCCAAACTCAGATAATGTGGGATTTTCTGCTTTGATATGCTGGGATATAAGGCCGTGTAGAAGGACCGTTAGAGGTCTCTCATTCATTAAAATGGAAATGTACTCCAGGTGAGTATCCAATGTATCAAGCACCATTACCCAAATAGGTCCAATGCCTCAGATAATTCCTTTGAATCTGGAGCAAATTCAGCACCCCATCATAGACTAGTAGTCCCCACAACCTCTAGGAATGAGAAGTATTATGTATTGCAATATGTATTTTGTTGTGTTTAATTTTTTATTGTTTTAGATTTAATTTTGTTTTATTATTCCTGAGCTTGGCCTCATGTTAGCTGCCCCAAGTCCCCATTGGGGAGATGGTAGTGGGGTATAAATAAAGATTATTATTATTATTATTATTATTATTATTATTATTATTATTATTACCTTTACCTACTGCAACCCAGCTTTTGCACTTTCTTATTTCGCCATGGTTAGTACAATATAGTAATATATAATACTGATATTGTGCTACGCTAATAATATAATATGGTTGTATGTATATATATCTTGTAAGCTGCTCTGAGTACCCTTTGAAGTGAGAAGGGTGGCATATAAATGTCATAAATAAACAAATAAATATTGGGTTTTTTTAATACTTCTGTACATAAAACCTTCTGCTGAACAGACAAACTAGAATATCCAGGGAAACTTCTTACCCAGTTTTTTCCTTGGTGTGCTTCTCTATTTGTGCACTTTTGGAAATGTGATCCCTTACCGACCATCCCAGGTGATATTGCCTTTTCTAGAAAAAGGCAGAATGATGTAGTATAATAGTTTTTTAATATTTGGTCCTCCAAAGGTTTAGGATTTCAACTCATAGAAGCCTCAGCTAACATGATCAAACTGGTAACAAGATGCCTTTTCAAAGCTCCATACATACGGAGGAAGGGGAAATTGAGACTTGTTCTCTCTGTGGCAATTTTCACCATTGTCTATTGAAGTGGCAAGCTCTAATTCTGCCTCCTTTGCCCTCCCAGCCCATGAATGTGGCCCTTTCACATCATCACAATTCCTGAAGTTGAGTACTTCCAAAAAGCATCAGAGGTTGATCCAAAAGTACAGTCATATAGAAGGAAAGCTGTTTTTCAAACAGGGGGACTTTAAGAAGCGGCAGAATGATTAACCTCTTAGAATTGAACATTTCCAGGACATGTTGACCCTAAGTGGAGCTTTCTGCTAATACCAGCAACAATCTGAAATGTAAGAGAAGACCTAACATGAGTCATTTTCACTTGGTGCTTGCTTGGTAGTTTTCCATTTGCAATAGGAGCTATTTCATGGTTGGGTAAACTATATCTAGCATCTTCCCGTGATTTGTCATGTGTTGATGTCATTAAATAAACTGATGGCTTCAGTTCACGAATGCTTCCATTCTTGAACTGAACCAAGAAAAGGGATACATTTTCCAACTGTTTTTAATAATATCTCCATCACAAGGGACAGCTTTTGAAGTAT